ATGTTACTTTCTATTTTATGGTCAGGACAGTAGACTATCAGGAGTCACATGTTTTATTTCATTTATTTATTTTAGAATAATTGACTGTGTTCTTTATATTAGCCATGTGTAGTGGTGTGTGCCTGTAGTTCCAGAGCAAGACCCTGCTTCAAAAAAACAAAACAAAACAAAACAAAAACAGCGGTGAGAAGGGAGGAGCATCTGCTCTGGAAATGCTCCCTTCGTGTTGTCAGAGCAACATGCCCCTGAAGGAGCTCTGGGGATGCTCGGAGGCTGTCAGCAAGACAAAAGGATGATGGTGATGGTGATGATGATGATGATATGTTGCTCCAGCCTATAATCCCAAGTTGCCCAGGCTGGTCGAACCCCTGGGCTCAGGCAGTTCTTTTGCCTCGATCTCCCAAAGTGCTGGGATTACAGTAGTTAATTAATTTTTGAGTCAGAGTCTCACTCTCTTGCCCAGGCTGGCCTCAAACTCCTGGGCTCAAGCAATCCTCTTACCTCATCTCTTGAGTAGTTGGGACTACAGGTGCATACCACATGTCCAGTTTAGGAGTCATAAGTTTATTATGTAGCAGGTTAACTTTTGGACAGACACATTTGATGCCTCAGGATGGTTGTTGTGATAACCTAATTTAAAAAGTTTATCATTAAATGTTTCAAACATATTCATAGATAGACTAGTCCAGTAACCCCCACTCTCCATTGCTCTCTGTCATCAGCTAAAATCTGATGTCTTTACATGGAGTATTAGAAGGGGATCTGAACGGGTTGGGCTTGAAGAGGTGAATTTCAGAGGCTGTGAGTTCCCAAAGAAGAGATCTCAGGCCTGATGCCACTTGTGCGTGAAGAGATTGACCAAATATCTCAGGTCTTTTCCAGCCCTTGATCTTTTTTCTAAAGTGATGATTCTCAAGTTTTTTCCCTTGGAGTTCCATTTGTTTATACTAAAAGATCCCGCCGGGCTTGGTGGCTCAGCCTGTAATCCCACGCCTTGGGAGGCTGAGGTGAGTGGATTGCCTGAGCCTGCGGGTTCGAGACCCGCCTGGGCAACTTGGTGAGACCTCATCTCTACAATAAATCAAAAAATTAGCTGGGTGTGGTAGTGTGCGCCTGTAGTTCCAGCTACTTGAAAGGCTGAGGCGGAAGGATCTCCGGAGCCCAGCAGGTCGAGGCTGGGGTGGCCGGAAGCATGCCACTGCACTCCAGTCTGGGTGACAGAGTGAGACTCCAACTCAAAAAAAATAAAGAATAAAAATATATATTAAAAGATCCCTTTAAAACTCCTCATTACTCTGTTTATCCCTGGAGGAGGGACAAAACTGCTCCAAAATAAGACAGCAGTTTCTGTGTCATGTATAGACTTGGGGTATAATTGGCTTATTATTAGGATAGTGAATTATAAAAATTCCAAAGCTCTTTGATAGTGATTTTACTTTTGAGAATCTAAGAAGAAATTTCTAATTCTAGAAGAAGCTGTAGTATCCATAGAATTTCACCACACTTTTATTTATTGAAGTGAAACTTTTGAAACAAGCCTTATATCCAGCAAAATGGGCAGCGGATGGATGAATCTATTAATAGCTGCTTAGGGCCAGACGTGGTGGTTGCTCTAGCCTATAATCCCAGCACTTTGGGAGGCCAAGGATTGCCTGAGCCCATGGGTTTGTGACCAGCCTGAGCAACTTGGCAAGACCTTATCTCTACAGTAAGTCAAAAAATTAACTGGGTGTGGTGGTGCCTGCCTGTAGTTCCAGCAACTTGGAAGGCTGAGGTAGAAGGATCACCTGAGCCCAGCTATGAATTAAAATATATGAGTAGAGAAAATATCAAAAGGAAATCATTAAAATATTAAAGTGAATGTCTTTAGGTAAACTTTTCCTCCTCCTGTTTCTTATATTTTCCAAATTTTCTTTGATGCATATTCCTTACGTTAATAATGGCTATGACTCCATAACCTTTATATTTAAAACATACTTTGGAAAAAATTTAGAAAGTATATGGCATTGTAAGAAAGTACTGTTGATTTATTCAAAGAGTAATAAAGCCAAAGGCTGTTTCTAAAGCATTGCAAATGAGCAAACAGACCCCAATTATTTACTGCTTCTGTCAGGTTAGATTATTTCCTTTTTTAGCTTTTTAAAAAATTTTGTTTGCTTATTTATTATTATTATTATTATTATTATTATTGAGTCAGAGTCTCACCCTGTCGCCCAGGCTGGAGTGCAGTGGCACAATCATGGCCACTGCAGCCTTGACCTCTTGACCTGCTGGCCTCAGACAGTCCTTCCACCTCAGCCTACCAAGTAGCTGGAACCACAGACATGTGCCACCGTGCCCAGCTAATTTTTTTATTTATTGTAGAGACGAGATCTTGCTGTGTTGCCAAGGCTGATCTTGAACTCCTGGGGTCAGACAGTCCTCTCAACTCTGCTTCCCAGTGTTGGGATTACTGGTGTGAGCCACTGCGCCTGGTGCTATTTATTGTTATTATTATTAATTTATTTTATTTATTTTACTAACTAAAGTTCATACTTTATTTAGATTTACTTAGTTTTCTCCTACTGTCCTTTTCCTCTTTTATTATCCCATTAAAGATACTACATTAGAATTATTCATCACGTTTCCTTAGACTCTTCTTGGTTGTGACAGTTTCTCAGATTTTTCTTGTTTTTATAACTTTGAAAGTTTTGAGGATTACTGATTGAGTATTTTGTAGAATGTTCCCCAATTTTGGATTTGTCTAATATTTCTTTTATTTATTTATTTTAATTTTAATTTTTAAAAAAATTATTTATTATTTTAATTTTATTTTTTATTTTTGAGTTGAAGTCTTACTCTGCCACCCAGACTGGAATGCAGTGGCATGCTCCCGGCCACCGCAGCCTCGACTGCTGGGTTCCGGCGATCCTTCCGCCTCAGCCTTCCAAGTAGCTGGAACTACAGGCGAGTGCTACCTTGCCTGGCTAATTTTTTTATTTATCATAGAGATGAGGTCTTGCCAAGTTGCCCAGGCGGATCTTGAACCCGCGGGCTCAGGCAATCCACCCACCTCAGCCTCCCAAAGCGCAGGATTACAGGCTGAGCCACCGAGCCCGGCCTTAAAATTATTTTTTAAAGGCTAGTCAAGTGAAGCAGTAGAAGTGGAGAAGGAACAAAAATATCTGTAACTGGTGAACAATTAGTTGTAAACCCTGCTGTACTTGGACACGCCAGGATAGATTATTTCTATTTCAGCTTTTGAGTCAGTGGCTCAAAGAATAAGTCACAAGTAGTCCATGATAAGAAAAGCAGCACAGAAAAAAAATATTTTAAAAAATTTTAGCCTAACAATAAGAGATATTAAGCTTTCCTGATATTTTAGGAACAGATTAGTGAGGTTCTTGAATGTCAGGTGGTTCCTTGCCATGTACCTGTCAAGGGGGAAGTTCCTCACCCTTTCCTTAACTAGCAGTGTATAGTGACATGGCCAACATGGCGAGGTCTGTGTTGCTCTGTTACATTTAGTTAGTTCATGCATATTATACAGCAGTTGCAAACAACAAGAAAACGGCCAAGTTGACTCTTCTGATTAGGTCAGTACATGATGAAACAATGAAGCAACATAATCTAATAAGACTGGCAAAAGAGATAAAACTATGGATTCAGCTGGGCCTGGTGGTGCATGCCTGTTGTTCCTGCTACAAGAACGACAGGAGGCTGAGGCAGGAGGATCACTTGAGCCCAGGAGTTCTGGACTGTAAAGGTTATGCCGATTGGGTGTCCACACTAAGTTCAGCATCAACTTGGTGATCTCCTGGGAGCAGGGGATGACCAGGTTGCCTAAGGAGGGGTGTGCTGGCCCAGGTCGGAAGTGGAGCAGGTCAAAATTCCCATGCTGATCAGTAGTGGGATTGTGCCTTTGAATAACCGCTATACTCTAGCCTGGGCAACATAGTGAGATCCCCAACTCTTCAAAAAAAAGAAGAAATAGGAAGATTTATCATCATAATGAACCTTACAACCATTTGAGATCTTATCTAATTGTAGTAAGGCATACATTTGGTTATAAATACATACACTAATGTTAGGAGTGTGTGCTTAGAGATTCTTTTTTATGGGCCAAGAGCATGATTTAAGAAGATTTGGAGCCAGGCTCGGTGGCTCAGCCTGTAATCCCACGCCTTTGGGAGGCTGAGGTGAGTGAATTGTCTGAGCCCATGAGTTCGAGACCCGCCTGGGCAGCGAGACCTCATCTCTACAATAAATCAAAAAATCAGCCAGGCGTGGTAGCGCATGCCTGTAATTCCGACTACTTGGAAGGCTGAGGCGAAAGGATCGCCGGAGCCCAGCAGGTCGAGGCTGTGGTGGCCGCGAGCGGCCACTGCACTCCAGTCTGGGCGACAGAGTGAGATTCCAACTCAAAAAAAAAAAAAAAAAGATTTGGAGGTCACTGGCTTAGAATGTAAACTGGGAAATAATAGCAGTTTGCAGAGTTGAGGCTTAACACATAAATCATGGTTTTTATAGATAATGTATCTTCTCTGCAGTAAGTAGGAACAACATTTGTTTTTATGACAGGAACGTTTTCTACTTTGTACTTTCTGTATACTATGTTACCAGATTTTCTGATTTCCAAAAAGAGCAGGACTCAGCTTACTGAGAACTGACATAGCTGAGCTGGATTCTCTGGGGGAGGAAAACACTGTTCTGTTTTTACAGATGGGCAAATTCAGCCATAGAATGTTTCTGTATCTTACCCAGGGCAGCACAGATGAATATGTGACCCCAAGGTCCTGCTGAATGGTTTTTCACTTTATAGCTCCTGTTCACCAGACGATCAGATGGATGGGAATTAATATCATCTCACTGTATTTATGTAACTCCTTTTATTCTTGCATGTCTATTGACTTTAACCAAATTAGTTATAGGAAGTATATGTGATGTTTAAAGGCTTCCTGGGTTTCTTGAAAGCATTTCACTGCCTGTTCACTTCTGACTTCTTCTTTCCCTTTTGGCTCCTTTCCAGTTGGAGGAGAGCAGATAAGTGCCATTGGCCGGGGCATCTGTGTGTTGCTGGGAATTTCTCTGGAAGATACGCAAAAGGAACTGGGGCACATGTAAGATGCACATTTCTAAGTCTTTGCTGTTCGAGTGGGGTGTGTGGTGGTGATGCTAGGAGCTTCTGTAGTACAAAGGCGACCCCAGGAAAATCCAGAATTTATTTATACAAAGTCTGTATTTATTCTTACATGTCTAAACTTCAATCCCCTTCAAAGTCCTCTTCGTTTGATACGATACACCTATCGAGATGCTTTTCCCACTGCTCAAAACAGTTTTTGAACTTATCCATTTTGGTGCCTTTTAGGGCTTCTGCCATTTTTTATTTCACCTCTCCCACACTGGCAAAACGTTTCCCTTTGAGGACTTTTTGCGTCTGGGGAATCAAACAAAAGTCATTTGGGGTGAGATCAAGTGAATAGGGGCATGGGGGTTATGCCATTTTTGGTCAAAAATGTGGTGTGGGCAGGTGCATTTGTAAATTACCCATCAGGAAATGGGCAAACAAGTTGAAAGAATCTCAAAAAAAATTCATGGAAGCCAAATGTAGCCTCTCACAACAATGCTGGCTGCTAATAGGTTCCTAGAACACTCACCTAAGGGGGAAACCTGTACTACAAGGGGCCCATCCTTCAAAAAATCATTTTTGGGGGGTGTCTCCTCTCATATTTGTGCCTGTGAATTGAGCCCCTGTCTCTTTTATCCATTGTCTCACTGGATATAGTATCTCCATGTTTCAGAGGAGACTGAGGAAGGGTAATGTGTCAGACCTTACCACTGAGTCAGCCATAGAGTGGGGGCACCACTGACCTCTGTTTGCTGCTGTGGCCTACACCATGTTCTCTTAATGCAAAAACTGAATCTCTTCTTACATACGATTTCTCTTTTTTTTTTTTTTTGAGTCGGGGTCTCACTCTGTTTTCTGGGCTAGAGTGCAGTGGCATGATCACAGCCTTGAACTCCTGGCTCAGTGACTCTTCTACCTCTACCTCCCAAATAGCTGGGACTACAGGTGTGTGCCACTATGCCTGACTAATTTTTTAGTATTTTGTAGAGACGAGGTCTTGCTGTGATGCCCAGACTGGTTTTGAACTCCTGGGCTCAAACAATCCTGTCACCGCGGCCTCCCAAAGTTCTACATTTATGGGTATGCACCACTGCACTTGATGATTTCTCTTTTTTAATGTGAGCAATATGATCTGGGAATTATTTATGCATTTTAAAAATACCTAGTTGTTCATTGTACATGGAAGAATCTGGAAGTCAGAGAAGTTAAATTCCTTGCCCCAGGTCATGCACACACACACAGCAAAAAACCTGAACCCAAATTGGGATCTGGGCTGCCTTACCTCGAGGCCAGTGCTCTCTTTACTAAGGTGGGGGAGCTTTCATCCATGCTGTCTGGCTAGCTCTCGGAGGGCATCAGCCCCTCCATGCATCCCTCTTCCCCAACACCCCTTGGCACATTTACTTCAGATGCTGGGATCTCCTTATTCTTGTCTTTGGTGCCCGGAACCTGGGTATAACCCTGCCAATTGTCCCTTTTGTATTAGATTAAAAATCAGACTTGGAACCTAATTCCTGCTAAGGCATCGATGACTGACCAGGACAGTTCAGGACCACTTCAGCGTGGTGGTACTTTAACAACTGTCCCCTGGATACTCAAAGAAGCCATGTAATGGTGTCATGATTAAAAACTAGGGCTCTGGGTTTGAATCTCTATGGCTTTGACATACTGGAGAGCTAATACTTAGCCTGGTGCTTAAGAGATGTGACTTAACGTGAGACAAACCCTGGCTGTGGAGAGGGAATGATGAATAGTGCCTTCCCCGAGGAGACCCATGGGAAGAGGCCGTGTTTGGCATTTTAGACCTTTGGAACTGCCTTTGTCCAAAGGGCGACTCTCAAATGGTGTGATTTCAGCTTTCATACTGGTGGTTCTCTGCCATGCTTCTCATATTTGACCCTGTGGATGTTACCTGATCTCACATCTGACCCTGTGGACGTTACCTGGTCCATTTCTTTGCCATTTTTCATCTACAGGTACAGGGCAAGCCCCTCTGGGGCTTAAGGAGCGTGTAACACAGCTGTCAAAGTGTCTTTCTTCAGATCTCTCTGCATAGTTACAATAACCATGGATTTTTCTCTCAGAGTATTTGCTGAATTGTTTATTTTGAGTAGCTGCTTGAAGGGTATAAAAATGGGGTGACATTAATCCCAATGTGATGAATTCTTCCATGATAAGTTAGAATCGGACCCATGTTTTGACTTTTCTCCAAACCGAAGAGAGTGGATGGTTGTCATCGTGCCCAAGTCCCATTGGAAGCTGCTATGAATTGTAGGGATTGGTAAAAAAGAATGAAATCCCAAAGCAGCCCTGTGGGATAGGATTATGAGGACTCAGGATCACAGGCTGAGGAAACTGAAGCCTGGGTAGATGAGTAACTTGCCCAAACTTGAGCCTCCTGTAGGAGATGGAGTCATCTCATGTCCTTATTCTGCAGGGTGCTAGTGCCATTTTAGGGGATGGAATATGTCAGGGGCTCCTAATCCTTCAGGTCTCTCTCACTGCTTTTTTTCCCCATAGGGTTCGAAAGATTTTGAACCTGCGTGTGTTTGAGGATGAGAGTGGGAAGCACTGGTCAAAGAGCGTGATGGACAAGCAGTACGAGGTGCTGTGTGTCAGCCAGTTCACCCTCCAGTGCGTCCTCAAGGGGAACAAGCCTGACTTCCACCTGGCAATGCCAGCAGAGCAGGCAGAGGGCTTCTACAACAGCTTCCTGGAGCAGCTGCGAAAGACATACAGGCCGGAGCTTGTCAAAGGTAGGCAGCCCTTTCCGGACAAAACAACACTGTGATCTAGCATCACCTTTTCTGGAAAGTCATTGTTGATGCTTATTACATAAAACATGTAATTATTGCTGCTGCTGCTGCACTTACCACGTGTCCTCGGAATGCTCCCATTACCATTCACCTTTCTCTATTCCTTCCTTTGTTCATGCTTTGAAATCGATCAGGACCCAGGTGTGTCTGATGTGGTGGTGTTTCCTGGATTGCTTAGGTCAACCCTGCCCAGTAGAAACAGTGCAAGCCCCAAGCATGAGCCAAACATGTCATTTTAAGTTCTGGTTGCCGTATTAAAAAATAAAAATAGACAGGTGAAATTAATTTTAAAAATGTATTTTATTTTACTGAACATATATAAAATAAAGATAATAAATCCAAAAATATGATTTTACCATGTCATCACTATTGACTGTTATGAAATATTTTACACTTTTTTTTCTTTGAAAAGCTTTATTTGTTTAGAGCTGTTGTGGATTCATAGCACATTAAGAGGAAGGTACAGAGATCTCCCGTATCCCTCTGCCTACACGTGTGTAGCCTCACCAACATCATTCCCCAGAGTGGTATATTTTTATAGTTGATGAACCTACACTGACACATCATTATCACCCACATTTGCAGTTTACAATAGGGCTCACTCTTGGTGCTGCAAGACTGTATGACTGGACATATGGATAATGGCATGTATTTGCCATTATAGTAGCATACAGGGTATTTTCACTGCACCCCCAAATCCTCTGTGCTCTGCCTGTTTACCCCTCTCTCCTTGCTAACTCCTGGCAACCACTGATCTTTTTGCTGTCTCTATAATTTCACCTTTTCCATAATGTCAGATAGTTGGAATTATAGCATTTGGCTTTCTAATTGGTTTCTTTCAGTAATATGCATCTACAGCTCCTCCATGTTTTTTCATGACTTGGTAGCTAATTTCTTATTAGCATTGAATAATATTCCATTGTCTGGATGTATCACAGTTTATTTATTCATTCAGTGAAGTCTATCTTGATTGCTTCTAAGTTTAGATAATTATGAATAAAGCTACTATAAACATCAGTGCTTATAGTGGGTTTTGTGCGGACATAAGTTTTCAACATTTTTGTGTAAATACCAAGGAGTGTGATTATTAGATTGACTGTTAAGAGTATGTTTAGTTGTGTGAGAAACAGCCACACTGTCTTCCAAAGTGGCCATACCATTTTGCATTCCCACCAACAGTGATTGAGAGCTCCTGTTACACCACATTCTTGCCAACATTTGGTGTTGTCAATATTATAGATTTTGGCCATTCTGATAGGTGTATGAGTGGTATTTCATTTTAATTTACATTTCCCTGATGACATATGATGTGGATCATCTTTTTATATGCTTATTTGCCATCCATATATCTTCTTTGGTGAGGTGTCTGTTAATGTCTTTGGCCGTCTTTGTGAGTTGAGGTCTCACTCTGTTGCTCATGCTGGAGTGCACGGCTCACTGTAGCCTTGAACTTCTGGGTTCCAGCAACCCTCCCTCTTCAGCCTCCTGAGTAGCTAGAACTACAGGTGCATCCCACCATGCTCAGCTAAATTTTTAAATTATTTATAGAGATAAAGTGAGGTCTCACTATATTGCCCAGGCTACTCTTGAACTCATAGTCTCAAGTGATCCTGGGATTACAGGTGTGAGCCACCACGCCCAGCTTTCTTACTGAGTTCTAAAAGTTTAAAAAATATTTTGGATTCTACTCCTTTAAAAGGTATGTCTTTTGCATATTTTTTCCCTCAATCTGTGGCGTGTCTTTTCATTCTGTTGACAGTGTCTTTCGTAGTACAGAAAACTTTAATGAGGTTCAGCTTAGCAATTCTTTTTTTTTTTCATGGATTCTGCCTTGGGTGTATTATATGAAAAAAGTCATTGCCATCCCCAGCATCTTCTAGATTTACTCCTGTGTTGTCTTCTAGGAGTTTGACAAGTTTGCATTTAGGTCTGCGATTCATTTAGAGTGATTTTTGTAAAGGGCATAGGTTCTATGTCTAGATTCACTCTTTTATTTTTTTTTTACATGTTGGTGTCCAGCTGTTCCAGCATCATTTATTGAAGAGACTCCTTTCTCCATTGTATTGCCCATGCTTCTGTGTCAAAGATCAGTTGACCATTTTCTAGACTCTGTTCTTTGTTTGTTTGCTTGTTTTTACTTTAATGGCATGAAGTCCAGGCTCTGGGTGAAGATGCTTTTAAGGGAAAAGCTTCTTTTCTTTTTGTCATGTAGCCTTATAAAATCCACTTCACCTCTCCTGGGAATCTCAGGCCAGGAGGCAAGCAGTTCCCCTGATAATGTTGCCTGAAGGGCCCAGCCCCTGGATCATCGCACCACTGGGATGTTGGGTTTATTTATTTAATAATCCCACAGCCACAACTTTAGGAAGCAGTGACGAATGCTCCTCAGCAAACAGGGTTCCATTCTTTCTTCTGAATTATCAAACAGTGCATCCTATTACCTCATGTATCTCCCGTGGGTCAGCTTTTCACCAAGCCACTTATGGCTCGCCCCAAAGGTCATCCCTGCTGAGTAATGCCAGTGTCACAGCTTTCCTGGTGGTGCCCTCATCTCAGCTGAGAAACTTCAGTTACAAAGCCTTGCCCCACTGTCTTAGAATTCACCTTCCCAGCGACCGCACTCTTCATAGCAGCCCTCACCAACATAACCCTAAGGCAGCAAGCTGAGTGTCAGGCCTCAGCCCCTCCCTTCTCTGGCCTGCAAGCTGCCCGCTCCCAAGCCTCCATCAGGGATGACATCTAACTTCCAAAAGAACACATTAAACTGCTACCCTGTTCCTCCAACTTGGAGTTTTTTCTCATTTGAGGGAGACAGTCATGCAGGTCTGCCCTCCTTTGTAAAAAGGATGGAGTACAGATATCCCATTCTCTTTGGGAAGGCCTATAAACCTCTGCAAGCTTAGGACAGTTAGTGCCCACCTCCACGGTGGGCAAAGGGGCCTGCAGGAAGCATGGACCTTGGAAAGCACTTCGTCGTGATTGCCAGGTGAGCTCTGCAGTGACTGTGTGCAGGCTCATGGCAGGAGGGCACATGTGCCTGACTATGGACCTTGTCTTCAACACTGGTGCTGCCTAGCTTGAGGGGAACTCCGGAGCAGCCTATGAGGCTCACCATGGGATGGGAGACAGGGAAAGGCCATTGTTTGGCAGGGGGTGGGATGGGCAGCCTCCACACACTGGGGATGTCTTCAGAGGATGGCCCCTCAAGCAGAGGTCTAGGGCTGGTTCCCAGTAGTCCTTGGGCTAGCTCCAAGCTCAACTCCCAAGGGAAACACTACAGCAGGGTGGCCCGGCTGAATAGTGGGCACCTGCACGCTCTTAAAGCCACAGTATCTGCTGTTGCCACACCACAACCTTTTTGCCTCCCCTATTCCCCATTCTGTTCTATTGATCTGTCTGCCCATTCTTTCACCACCATGCTGTCTTAATTACTGTAGCTTGAAGTTGTGTAGCATCAATCCTCCAACTTTGTTCTTCTCTTTCAATCTTGTATTGACTATTCTGGCTCTTTTGCCTCTCTTTGTAAACTTTAGCATCGTTTTGTTGGTATCCACAAAATAACTTGCTGAATTTTGTCTGGGATTACATTGCACTGCATTGAATCTATAGATCAAGCTGGGAAGACCTGACACCTTGACTATATTGAATCTCACTGTCCATGAACATGGAATATCTCTTCATTTATTTAGTACCTTGATTTCTTTAATTAGTTTGGTAGTTTTTTTCCATATAGATCTTGTACATGTTAGATTTATACTTAAGTATTTCAATTTTGGGTGTGCTAATATAAGTGGTATTGTTTGTTTGTTTATTTATTTAGAATCAGAGTTTCACTCTGTTGCCCAGGCTAGAGTGCAGTGGCCTAATCATAGCTCACTTCAGCCTTGATCTCTTGGGCTCAGGTGATCCATCTGCCTCAGCCTCCTGAGTACCTGTGACTACAGGCATGTGCTTCCACACTTGGATAATTTTTTATTTTTTGTAGAGATGCGGTCTCTCTATGTTGCCCAGGTTTGCTTGGTCTCGAACTCCTGGCTGAAGGGATCCTCAGTCTCCCAAAGTGCCAGAATTATAGGTGTGAGCCACCATGCCCAACCGTGGTACTGCATTTTAAATTTCAAATTTCATTTGCTCATTGCTGATGTATGGGAAAGTGATTGACTTTTGTATAGTAACCTTATATCCTGCAACCTTGTTGTAGTCACTTATCAGTTCCAGGAGATTTTTTGTTGTTGTTGATTCCTATGGATTTTCTCCTTGGATTATCACGCCATTTGTGAGCAAAGATAATTTTTAGTTTATTTCTTCCTAATCATCATACCTTCTTTTTTTTCTTCTTTTTTTTTAAGTTGGAGCCTTATTCTGTCGCCCAGGCTAGAGTGCAGTGGCACACTCACGGCCACTGTAGCCTCTACCTGATGGGCTCAGGCGACCCTTCCACCTCAGCCTTCCAAGTAGCTGAAACCACAGGCATATGCCATCATGCCTGGCTAATTTTTAAATTTATTTTAGAGGCAAGAGCTTGCCAAGTTGTCCAGGCTGGTCTCAAACTCCTGGGCTCAGGGACCCCAGGCAGTCCTCTTGCCTCTGTCTCCCAAAGTGCTATTATAGGCATGAGCCATCACACCTAGCCTCAGTCATTATACCTTTTATTTCTTTTTTCTTGCCTTTTTGCGTTAGCTAGGACTTCCAGTACGATGATGAGAGTAGTGGGAGGGGACATCTTTTGCTTGTTTCTGCTCTTAGTAGGAAAACTTCTAGTTTCTCACTATGAAGTATAATGTTAGCTGTAGGTTTTTGTAGATGTTTGATAACAAGTTGAGGAAGTTCCTCTCTATTCCTAGTTTGCTGAGAGGTTTTTTTTTTTTTTTTTTGGTCATAAACTGGTATTGGATTTCGTCAGATGCTTTTTCTGCATTTGTCAATATAATTATGTGATT